TACGAAGCGCTGAAGGTGGTGGCCCGGTGCCGGCCCATGAGCAGGAAGGAGGAAGCCGCGGGCTACCAGCAGGTCCTGGAGCTGGACGTGAAGCTGGGCCAGGTGAGCATCCGCCACCCCCGCGCCCTCCCCGGGGACCTGCCCAAGACCTTCACCTTCGATGCCGTCTACGACGCCAACTCCAAGCAGGCAGATCTGTATGACGAGACGGTGCGGCCGCTGATCGACTCGGTGCTGCAGGGCTTCAACGGCACCATCTTTGCCTACGGGCAAACTGGCACCGGCAAGACCTACACCATGCAGGGGGTCTGGGCGGAGCCGGAGAAGAGGGGCATCATCCCCATCTCCTTCGAGCACATCTTCACCCACATCTCCCGCTCGCAGAACCAGCAGTACCTGGTGAGGGCCTCGTACCTGGAGATCTACCAGGAGGAGATCAGGGACCTCCTCGCCAAGGACCAGAGCAAGAAGCTGGAGCTGAAGGAGAACCCTGAGACGGGGGTGTACATCAAGGACCTCTCCTCCTTCGTGACCAAGAACGTCAAGGAGATTGAGCACGTGATGAACCTGGGGAGCCAGACGCGGTCGGTGGGCAGCACCAACATGAACGAGCACAGCTCCCGCTCCCACGCCATCTTCCTCATCACCATTGAGTGCAGCGAGACGGGGCCGGATGGCGAGGAGCACATTCGTGTGGGCAAGCTCAACCTGGTGGACCTGGCTGGCAGTGAGCGCCAGAGCAAGATGGGAGCCCATGGAGAGCGCCCCAAGGAAGCCTCCAAGATCAACCTCTCCCTCTCTGCCCTGGGCAACGTCATCTCTGCCCTCGTGGACGGCAAGAGCACACACATCCCCTACCGGGACTCCAAGTTGACCCGCCTGCTGCAGGACTCCCTCGGGGGCAATGCCAAGACAATCATGGTGGCCACCTTGGGCCCAGCTTCTCATAGCTACGATGAGAGCCTCTCCACCCTCAGGTTCGCCAACAGGGCCAAGAACATCAAGAACAAGCCCCGGGTGAACGAGGACCCCAAGGACACCTTGTTGCGGGAGTTTCAGGAGGAGATTGTCCGGCTGAAAGCCCAGCTGGAGAAACGTGGCATGCTGGGGAAGAAGAGGAGGAGAAGCAGCCGGAGGAAGAAAGTGGTGGATGGGGAAAGTGCCACAGAGAATGAAGGGGAGGAGGACAATGAGGATGGCCTGGAGAAGAACATGGAGAACTACTTGAAGGAGCAGAAGGAGAGGTTGGAAGAGGAGAAAGCTGCTATCCAGGATGACCACAGCCTGGTGAGTGAGGAGAAGCAGAAGCTGCTGCAGGAGAAGGAGAAGATGATAGAGGATTTGCGGAAGGAGCAGGAGGCGACGGAGCTGCTGGCCACCAAGTACAAGGTACGTGTCACCACCTGCTGTTGTGAGCAATGCTGGGGGAAGACCTGCTTGGCCTCCAGCCCCTTGTGGGGTGGTTGAATGGGTCCCCAAGCATGATGTCCAATCAGGATATTCAAGCAGGGTGCCCAAGGAACACGCCCATGCAAGGAGGGCTCCCAAGCATGATGTCCCAGCAGAGTGCCTGAGGGCAGCCCTATGCTCCAGTGCAGTGGTGGGCTGGGGCTGCCCTCAGACATGGACCATCATGTGGACCTTTTGTGGGTGCTACTGGAAGCACAGGGTGGGAAGGGCCATGGAAGAGCAGGTCACTGGTGGCACAAGTTTGCTGTGCTCAGCTCCATCCCCCTGGACACAACAAAGCAGCTTGCAGTGAGGTGGGGGGGTGATGCTGCAGATTCATCCCTGGCGGCCCTGGGAACACACCCAGAGCTGGGGACATGCCACTGCCTGCCCTGCTGTCCTGCCGAGCTGGCTCAGGGACATGTGGGGTTGGGTGCGAGAGGGGCCATGGTCCCAGCCCAGCCCTGAGTGGCATTGCCGGGGGCCCTGGGGCTGCACTGCTGTCCCCCCCCAGCCCTTCTTCTGTCTCCTGTGAGGCCTGGGGGGTGCTGCCCCCCTCCAGTGTGCCTGAAGGGCTGCGTCCAAGAGTCACAATGGTGGGGAAGGAGCCCTGGGTGTGTTGATGTGCCGTGTCATGCTCCAGCGTGGCCCCTCCATCACCTCGCTGGCCCAGGTGTGGTGGCCAGGGCTGAAGAGCTGGCATCAAGCCCTCCTGGTGGGGATGTGCCCGGAGAGTTGGTCCCTGCCTGGAGGTGTCTGGGCCTGAGCAGGGGGGCTGGGGTTGCCCTTATGGCTTCCTCCATGGCTACAGCTCTCTTTGTTGTAGCCTCAGAAACGTGTGGCAGTGCCCAGGAATATGTGCCAAGCCCAGGGATATCTGACCATGCCCAAGGATGCATGATCATACCAGGGACGTGTGACTGTGCCCAGGGATGTGTGGTTGTGTCCAGGGATGTGTGCCATGCCCAGGGACGCATGGCAGTGCCCCAGGATGCACGATCATACCCAGGGTCAGTGGCAGTGCCCTGGGACGCAGGGCAGTGCTGAGGGGTGTGTGGCAGTGCTGAGGGACGCATGGCCGTGCCTAGGGATGCACAATCATGCCCAAGGACATGTGGCTCTGTCTGGATTCCTGCATAGAGACCCACAGGCTCACACTGGGATGTGCCACCAGGGCAGAGCCTTGGGGACACATCGGTCACCAGCTGGCATGATGGGTGTCCCATGACAGATGCCCCGTGCTTGGTGTCCCATGACAGATGCCCAATGACTGGTGTCCCATGACAGATGCCCAATGACTGGTGTCCCATGACAGGTGCCCCATGACGGGTGTCCCAGCAGAGCAGGATGCCCAGCGCAGAGGTGGGGTCCCCATGGCTGGTGTCCCCCACCGTGGTGGAGCAGGTTGGCATTGGCAGTCATCCCACATGGTCCCTTTGGCAGGCACAGCACAGCGGGGCTGGCTCGGGGCCACAGTGTGTCCTGTAACTGCTGAGTAATGAGGCAGGGACAGAGGCAGGGTGACACCACGTCCCCTTTGATGGCCTTCAGAGCTGCTCACCTCAGCAGGGGACACCAGCTGTGGGGATCTTGTATGGTCACACTAGCGAGGTATTGCCCTGGGGGGTGCAAAAAATCCCCCCTTGTGCC